ATTTTTAACCCTTTTGGGAGAGGGGAAGCAGAGGGAGCTATAGTCCCAGCAATACAACTTTGTATTCTAAGCACTTATAGTATCCCTTTAAGGTATCCTGCTGTAGTCCTAGACTTTACTTTGTTATTAATGACCATGAGTCTTGCTTTGCCTAATTGTTAAATGATTACTCTAAGCATCATGACCACAACAGCCTAATGTAGTAATTATGATGTGAAGAGGAACATGGCCACGTTTGCCAGTCATAGGGTAAACCATTGCAAATTGCTCTTACTTGGGATCTGTTGGGTGCTGAGGCAGGTTTGGTGATGTACATCTGGCTTCTACAGAGCTGCAGATGCCAGATGCAGATGCTGTCACCACTCATTGGCTAAGAGCCTCAGCCAATGAATGCAACTCTGTTCATAGAAATATGCACAGAATTGACATCAGCCAGAAAAGGAACTCTCATTCTGAGCTGGCAAATGAGGTTCTAACAGCAATGCCAGAGATGTTGTTACACTTACGAAACTGAATGGGTTAAAGTTGTTTCATAGCTAAATGCTGCACATACAGACTACAGGCACCATGAACAATTCAAATCACTGAAGTGGTCATGGTATTTGAAACAACTCTTTAAGTTCGTTTCAATTTGTTTCAGAATTCGACTTGCTTCTTGGACTGTGCCTCTGCTCGCTTCTCTTTTATCCTTCCCTCCAGAAGACCTCTGTTTGGCTGCAAAATGCGTGAAGGGTAGCCTCATCGGGAGAGTGGTTAAGCTCTGCATGGTTTTGTGCTAAAACATTCAACTACTAGAAACCAATGAAGCATTGCAGAGCCTGACAAACTATTAATCATTTTTTAAAATGGCTGTTATAATATAGAAATAGCTTGAATTGAAGCTGATAAGACACATTTGCCCTTTCTGGAATCAATTAGGTTAAAAGAAGATATAAGCATTTGCAAATGTGATGCTTGAATGCATCTTTCAATTTTGAAACTATTAATTATGCAAAAAAGAAAATCCTCTGTTCTTGTATGTTCTTGAATCGGACAATGTTTTAGGTAAGGAAGGGAGTCTAATATTTTCTTCTTTGAACCAGATCAACGGGTCGGCAATATGACCATCAAGACATTTTCAAAGGAACTACCATTTTTCCCTTTTTTTTTTTTGCATTCGGTTTATCTGCTAGCAAGGAATCTTTATATTATATTGTGTTCCTTGGCTAGCACAGTACCACTACAAACTACTAAAACAATTTCATGTCAGATATAGTTTATTTTTATTTTTACTAAATCCCCCCATCTTAATGATGATTGTGAACAGGACTCATACCTATATTTATCAGAATGTTGGAGGATCCTATGCTTTTTTTTCATGCAGATCACTAGGACACAACTTGTTGATACGAAAATGGTTACTTTTTACAATCTTGAATTGTTCTCAATTGATTTAAAAGTTGCAAGTGTGTATTTTCATAGCAGTCCTTAAAGGGATACTGTAGGCACTTTAACAACTTCATCTTATTGAAGTCGTTATGGTGTCTGCAGTCCTGCACCCCTCCCCATGTCCTACTTCCAAAAACACAACATTAAACTAATTAGAAGGCAAAGAAGCATGGATCAAGCTATACCTCCAATCCCTCTGTGTATGACAGCATGGAATCTTACTCTCTATCTCTTGTAACGTAAATGACGTGATATCACACGTGCATGCGCAGTGCTGTCACTGTCGGCCGTAGAGCCTCATTAAATATAATGATTCTCTGTGGTTTTCTGTGCATCGTGCCGCAATAAATTAAATATATTTTCTTTTAAAGTCAGACAGAACTGCAGAGGAACTTAAATGGAAACTATAAAGGAAGGGGGATTAATCCTTATTTTTTAAGAAATTTAAATAATGATTTATGCCATCAATAAAGCATAATAAGGATAATGGTTTAGAGTCATGACTAGGGGCTCTGTGTGGGGATAATTTCAATTATATGGTTCCCTTATGCCATATGCCTCTGGAAGTGACATCGGAGGCCAGCCTAGTCTAAAGAAGTTACCTCCCACAAAGCATCGCAAACCAGACATTCTCTCTCTTTGAATGTACCCAGGATGTACATTTACCAGCTCTGAGGGGTGGGGCTTTTGTAAGTAATGTTAAGTAGCCTGTTACTTGTCATTAGTATTATAATTATATTAACCCTTGAAGGACAGAGGCAATTGTAAAAGTTCTAAACAAAATAAAATCAAAGCAAAAAAAAACCAAAATTAAGGTGTGTTGTAACTTGACATATCTGTAAAAACACTTAATACAAGGGTGCATCAAACATATAATGCAAAAATAACTTCAAAGTGCTTAGAATTTACTTACAAAACGTATTCCATTCATAAACTATATGTAAGGGAAAAAAGAAAAAAAAAAGAAAACAATATAGTGTAATATTGTAAACACCAATAATAACCTATACATAAATATTTACCCACTAACAAACAGGGTGCAGGTGAAGACTGCTCAGGCTACTGGTGCTTCAAACAAATCACAAGGAATCCACTAGGCAGTAGCTTTCTTCCACTAATTTTATTAATTAAAATAGGGAGAGGTTTAACCCTCTCTGGAAATCAAGTCCCCCACAGATGGAATGCTCTGAGGTTGATATATATATATATATATATATATATATATTTTTTTTTTTATTTGGCAGAATATTATTTTTTTACACTTTGGAGCAGCAGGGAGACTGCTTGACAACCCAGGCATGCACAGCTTGCCCAGCTGTTGTGGCCATGTGATTGCTCGGTCACCTGGCCTGCGGGGGCCTGAGAGGTCGGACGTGCTGCAGCAGGACTGGCTGGGATGTCAGGTAAGGTAAGGTAAGGTCAGGCTAATAATAAAGTTTTGTGTGTTTTCTATCCACATATGTAACATAATACCAAGAACTATAAAAAAAAAATTAACATTGTTACTTATTGCTTAATTATTATGTAATAAGTCAAAGATTAATATTCATTTTAACCCCTTCAGGACAGAGTCAATAGTGCACGTTCTGATCAAAACAAAATGTAAACAAAAATTGGTATTTGCGCTATATGCCTGTTCAACCGTAATTCACCTCTTTCATATTAAGTGCACCCACACTTATTATATATCATTTTGTTCAGGAGAAACAGGGCTTTAATTTATCAGTAACTATTCATATTTAAAAATTTTAAAAAAACTGTGAGAAATTAAGATTTTTTTTGAAAAATTGTAGACATTTTAGCTGTAAATGTCATAATACCATTAGCTTTAACTGCAAAAAAACCCACATATTTGGATTCAGCAAAGTCTCACGAGTACAACAGTACCCCCCCATTAACAGTTTTTACAGTGTTTTTGAAGGTTAAAAGGTCAAATATAGCACATTCCATTTTTCAGTTTTTTCAAATTGAACTTCGTCAGGTTGGTTATGTTGCCTTTGAGACCGTGTGCTAGCCCAGGAATGAGATTTACCCCCATGATGGCATACCATTTGCAAAAGTAGACAACCCAAGGTATTGCAAGTGGGGTATGTCCGGTCTTTTAGCGTAGCCACTTAGTCACAAACACTGTCCAAAGTTAGCGTTCATATTTGTTTTTGTGTGAAAAAAGCAAAAAACTAATATTTGGCCAGTGTTTTTGACTAAGTGGCTACCAAAAATGACTGGCCATACCCCATTTGCAATACCTTGGGTTGCCTACTTTTTCAGATGGGATGCCATCATGGGGGTAATTCTCATTCCTGGGTTACCATACGGTCTCAAATGCAAGTAACCAATCTGGCAAATTTCAATGCGAAAAAAATGAAATGCAAGCCTTATATTTGACTCTCTAACTGATTGACGTGCCTGACAACCCAGGCAGCAAGTGCAGAATTAAATTCGCACGCACTATATTTACCCTGTAACTTTCCAAGACCCAATAAAACCTGTACATAGGGGGTACTGTTATACTTGGGAGACTTCACTGAACACAAACATAACTGCTTCAAAACAGTAAAACATATTGCAACAATAATATCGCCAGTAAAAGTGCCGTTCGTGTGTGAAAAATGCAATAAACTTCACTTTTACTAAATATATCATCGTTGTAATACAATTTATCATTTTGAAATACTAATATTTGTGTTCAGCGAAGTCTCCCGAGTAAAACAGTACCCCCATGTACAGGTTTTATGGTGTCTTGGAAAGTTACAGGGTTAAATATAGTGCGTGCGAATTTAATTCTCTGCACTTTCTCCCTGTGTTGTCAGGCACGTCAATCAAATTTTAATTAATTAAATCATGTAATTATGTTAAAATATTACTTAAGCATACACATAGAATTTTTATATATATATACATATATATGTATTTAAATTCTACGTGTATACTTATGTAGTTATTTATGTAATTATATATATATTTATCTAAATATAAATATTTGCAGTTATTTGTATTTTATATATAGATAGATATATATATAGAAAGTCATTCTAAGTGTGTTTTGTTACCAATATATATGTATTAATAACAAAATACAGTTAGAATGAAATTACATATGTATATATAATTTATTTACATTTTTTGTACATATTTAATTTATTTATTTTATTATTTTATTTATTTATTATTGTAATTATACGTATATATATATATATATGTATATATATATAAACATAAAATATATATATAGATATATTATATATATAATATATATCCTATATATATATGTAACGTTATTCTAAGTGTATTTTAAGATTAATATATATACTTATATTAACTTCAAAATACATTACGTATCACGTTACATATATATATAAGATGTATATATATAGCATCCAAGTAGAGAGCACTCTGGAGTCTTCGTTTTATATCAAAATAAATACTGCTTTATTGTGCAGAATACAATAAAGCAGTATTTATTTTGATATAAAACGAAGACTCCAGAGTGCTCTCTACTTGGATGCTACATATTGGTCAGAGATTACTTGCACCGGAGCATGGAAAAGACCGGGAACATTGAGTGCTGGGACCTGTGAAAATATATATATATATATATATATATATATATATATATATACTTTTAATTGATTTTAAAACATGTTTAATAATTTTTTATTATTCTTCCCACCAGCAGGGGGACTGTCTGACATTTCAGACAGTCCCCCTGCTGGCAGATCCACAGCCAGCTATTGGGGCCCTGATTTGCCGGGTGAGGGCTGCCTGGGCTGTGAGGCAGTCCTCCCGAAGTGGAGCGCTGGGAAGGTAATTATCCCAGCAGCTACAGGGCTCAAAGCCGTTACGGCGTTCTATGCAAATCGCACATCCCCGTGGTGGCGACTTTGCATGCGGATGTCATCCATATCAACTTTCGATGCCAGTTTCTGCGCCTACCATGGTGACCACGGGTAATGGGGAATCGGGGTTCCATTCCGTATAGGGACCCTGAGAAACGGCTACCACATGCAAGGAAGGCAGCAGGCGCACAAATGACGCACTCCCGACGCGGGAAGGTCGTGACGACAAATAACAATACAGGACTCTTTAGAGGCCCTGTAATTGTAATGAGTCCACTTGAAATCCTTTAACTCTGATCAATTGGAGGGAAGTCTGGTGCAGAGCCACTGACCCGTGCGTGCTGCAGGCGAGCAGCAGCAGCGTGACAACGCCAAAAGCGCGCACCACCACTACAGTGAATGTCACATCCTGTTCCAAGTTGCTCAGTCTGGTGATGGCTTCTGGTATCAAGTACTCTTTTTACTGAAGCTGCATCAGACCCTGCTAATTCATTCCACACTGTGACTCCTAACTTCAACATCAGGCATACTGGGTCCCGGTCGTTCGACCGCCGCACAGACAGTGTCTGGGTCCTGGTCACCGGACTGCCCACCTCACTGTGAAACTATGAATGGAGTGTTAAATCTGGTACGAACCCGAACTTTGCAGTTTGAGTTTGCTCAAGTCTATTATGGATCCTTTGATCGCTACATGTATTACTTGGATAACTGGTAATTCTCGAGCTAATACATGCCGACGAGCGCTAGGGGACGGCCGCTCCACTTTTGCACCCTGCTCCCTCTTATGCTGTACTGGTGCCTCTGTGCGACCAGCTCCTCTTCCTCCAAACTACACACATCACTCGCATGACCTTGATTCCATGTGGGGTCTAGGAACTCATCATCCTCCACATCATTTTCCACCCACTCTTCAACCCTGCCCTCCTTGTCGGTATGCACACTGCAGAAAGCCACAGCAGTTGGCACTTGTGTTTTTCCAGCATGTAAAGTCTGCAAAGGACACATGGAAATTGTTTTAGAATTGTATCCAGGCAACAGTTTCCCCTATAAAGTGACTTCTCAATTTGACTTGTGAGGGTATTGCCCCAGAATTACAATATTGTTGAAGTACCTCTTAGCTATTGATCACTGGTTTGAATATAGCAGTTTGTTATCTGGTAGTTTCTAGTGTAGAAAATATCAATATTAGATGCTTCTATTTGACTCTCAGATATGAAGTGCACCCCACTAAAATACTATTTATCAGCTTAGGACCCAAATAATTTTAAGTTTTAAAACTGCAATGTGACAGCAGTATTTGACGATTCTATTTGACTCTCAGATATGAACTGCACCCCACTAATGTACTACCCCACTAATGTACGATTTAGCACCAAAAAAAATTCCTTTTTAAAACTCTGATGTAACTGCGGTATTTGAAGCTTCTATTTGACTTTCAGATATGAAGTGCATCCCACCCCACTAATGTACTAGTTTGCAGAATTCTTTCCTAAGCTGTCCCTATCAGCGGCAGCATCCTCTCCCTACACTAATAAGACCACATGTGCGTGCGGCGCTACGTGACTCCAGCTTATATATAGATGCTGGGTCACATGCTGCACTGGCCAATCACAGCCATGCCATTAGTAGGCATGGCTGTGATGGCTTCTAAGGGCACACAAGTCAAATGCTTGTTTATTGGCTGCCCTGCAGCCTTTGGAAACGCTCTATTAAATCGCCGAACACCGAACTCCAACCCAAACATGCAGTGATATGTCCGTGTTCGGGTCCAGGGTCCAAAAAACCTAATGTTCAGTACGAACTCAAACTTTACAGTTCGGGTTCGCTCAACTCTAGTCTTCAGCCTCCAACTTAAGAAAGAGATACAAAAAACTACAGAGTATTCTTTTACACAAGGCCATAACACTTAGAGAAGATATGGGTTTTTAATATCCCTCCCAATGGATGTTAATAGCCTTGGAAATAGGGTACTCTGGAACCGCCTGGCAATTGATATCAAGAAAAGGCCTTCACATATTCCATATCAAGCTAAATAAACATCTGTTCAACAGTCTTGTAATCACTTACTCCAATCCACCCATTTCTTGTAAAATTAACTTTTTTTTTAATCTAAGATTTTTCACAAAATAGATTTACATACAAACCAAGAAAAAATAGCATAACATCATGAAATCGATTTACAATCAAATATAATAAAATGACAAGTACAGCCACAAAAACAAACAACAAAAAAAAATACTTAAATTAACATAAGAAGCTGAGAAATGAGAGGAGGGAGACCTTCGAGAGAGCCACATAATTAAACAAATTCTTAAAGTATTCACATTCTAGAGCCTTGAAAAATAGCTTTTATACACTCACGGCAATTATTCCATGCTAGATGACTTTTTTGGATAAATCTGATTGATTCCATTTTAGCGCTTTTTCCATTTTAATGTGATATAGAAATTCAATATAGCAGATTAGCACCCATAAAATAAGAATGTTTACCACTGCCCTATAAGCGCACTATTAGACGCTTCTATTTGACTCTCAGATATGAAGTGCAAGCCACAAAATGTACTATTTAGCAGATTAGCACCCAGAAAGTAGGAATGTTTACCACTGCGCAGTAAGCACACTATTTGGCGCTTCTATTTGACTCTCAGATATGAAGAGCAGGCCACAAAATGTACTTTTTCAAGTATTGACTACAAAAAATTGTTCTCAACCTTCCCATGTCTGGTGATCACAATTTTAACAGCAAGCAAGTGGAATAAAACCTCAATAGGGCGAAACACGTTATTTTATATTACTGTATTAATAAAAGTATTTTTTTACTACTTTACAATAAGTGGTTAGTCTTTTTTACTTTTATGATTTTTACGTTGACTTATACCTGGCAAGGTTTTTATCATCTAAAGCACCAGAATTATCATCAAAAGAATCCAAGGTAGGGATTGTTCCACCCACGCCTGGCACATAGAGGGGTTTGTCTTCTCTTTGTATTGTAAGTATATTTCCTATTGCTATTTATACTTACCTGTATGGAGAGCACTATTGGCTTTCTCTTCTTTTATTGCATGTGATCTACACTGCAACAACCACCAGAGGCATATCGTGCAAGTGGGGAGTTTATACCACAGGACGCTGTTTTACCTAGAGCTGGTCATAGCTCTATGATTTGTGAGTTGGCATTTCTATACCTCAAGGTTGTTTGTAGCTCATCTGACTTGCCATATTGCACTATTGGTTCCTTCTGTATTCTGCTTTCTTTCATCCGCTGTTGCTAAATTGAGCTGTAGCAAGGATTTTGCATGAACAATTAAAGATATATTGTGTCTTTAGGCCTATTTTTACCTTCGGTATTTTTTTATTGGACTTTTCATTGTGCTTTTTTATCTAAACAGTTAGCCTTTTTGTGGTCTATTAAATCTTTCTGGCACATCCTGAATATTTTTGTTCTGTCACCTTTAGTTTTTTTTAAGGGTTTGAGGGATACCCTTATCTTCAGGAGTGCTGCCCCCTATACTTGTGATCAGTTGTGTAGCACTGTTGGTTTGGATGAGTATAAATATAGCTTCAAAGGTTTTTTTCCCTAAATCTTTTATACCGTTGCACCCCCAACAAACATGTAAGTATGTGCCTTTGTTTTGGGTACATCTCCAACATATCGGATTTACAGAGGGGAACATTTTACTCTATCTTGTGGGCACCAGATACCATTTATTTATTTTTTTAACTTAACCTATGTTTGCACAAGATTCAGACAATACGTTGTTTTGGTTGCTCTGTAAAAAGATGAACACTACTCTTTCATATCTAGGTTTATTTCTAATTCTTTTAACCATATATTAACAGCAGGATTTATTTAGTTAGTTTTCATTTTCTATTTTTCAGTGCATGGTGTAAGTTACAGGCTTGCGTAGACATTGCATAAGAATACATAACATGAAAAGAATTGGTTGGAACATGGAATGTTGAAGTTACTGCACTTTTTATAACAGAGGAGATAAGGTCACTGAAGCACAGTTCTAGTACGTTAAAGGTGAGAAAAGAACAAGTGCTGCAGCATAGAACTGTTGATAATTCATGAAGGAATACCACTGGGTGAGTAGGGTTAAACATTGCATATAGATCCAGCAGGGCACAATAACAATGTGAAAATTTGCAGTTAACCTATATAATAACATGTAGTGCTAGAGTATAGTATTGGCTGTCTGCTAATTAAAATAAACTTAAACTAAATTAAATAAAGTGCCAGTGGGTACTGATTGCAAAGGAGTGATGTCAGCAATAAACTACAGTAAAATGAAAGAGGTCCAGGCACTCCTTGGTTCAAGACAGGAACTTTATTGGAACCACAGCAGTAACGTTTTGACCCAAGCGTCTTTATTAAGTTCCACACATACTACAAAAAGCAATAAACTACAGTCCTACAGAGTTATAGCCTCACATTTATTACTACGTCTTAGCTGCAGATAACTTGTGGTAATTTCATGGTGCTGCTCAACCGATACTCATGAAAGGGAGGCTGTTGAGATAGGGAAGTAAGAGTCCACATTGTCGTGGAGGAGAGCTCCTCCTGTTCCCAGTGTGGATGTGGTCTTGTTTTTTGCCGTCTTGAGACCATCCATGATTTGCAACCTTGAAAGGACCCTGGCGCCATCTTGATGCACACGATGGGCTTTGCTGAGTTGGAACTCTCTAAAAGCGCTTTGAAAGTCGGCCTCCTCAGGAGCGCCGTGAAGGGACATGGCAGTGGGCTGTGATAGTCTCTATGCTGCAAGCCTGTATCGTCTGCGGCCCCTGCCTTCTATTCACCACCCAGCTTCGGTGGTATACATCTGCCACAGAGGTCACATGGGCCTTCATCTTGGTGACATCTTATGATAGCCACATAGGTGGAATCCTGTCACGTGTTGCCGACTCAAAGGTAGAATTTGGGAGATGGTACCTTGGGTTATTGGAGTGGTGAGTACTCTGGTACTCAATTTTACCCAGAATTTGGCACACATTATGTCAAAGGCCTGTAGAATCGCGTCACTAAAGGTTACCAGTTGTGGGGTGGCTGCGGAGAAGCAGGCTGTTGTGCAACGCCCATATTGGGCAATAGGCCCCATTCTCAGGATTCGCCTTGGTTACAGTGCTGACAGTGTGCCCCAAGTGCATGCCAGTGGGTACCGGGATTACCTACACTGTTCCAGACGACGACACAGGGCTCAGAAATAGATGAGTTCCAGAACCGGGCAGACTCCCCTACCATGAGTATATTGACAGGCCGCTTAGAGATCTATCATATGATATTCAATGTATTTTTAAATACCCACAGTGATTTTTACTTTTTCCTAGTATTTTTTGCATTTGTGTTAATATTAAATTAAGATTTATTGTCTCCACAGCTGGTTTATATCCCTGTATATTCCAGATCAGCTAATT